ATTGTTTGCTCAGAATTTGTAAGAATTTATAACACTGAAGATGTCTGCTTTAATACGCTGGTATTTAGGAGATGTGAAGAAAAACTATTGTTTCTCCTACAATTTTTGTATCTCTATAAACAGAACAAATGAAACAAATTTTGAACTAGAGCAGTCTCCTTCAACCAAAAGTTACACACAGTGAACAGTTTATTTGCTTTTTTGTTTTTTTACTTTTTCTTTTATAAAAGGCTGGGATAATGAATAACCAAAGCGGACAGCCCATGAATAATGTAGCATAAACAGTTGTTCTATTTTTCCTTAAAGCTAAATGACTAGCACACCTGATTCAGTTAGCAATTTTATGTGTATTTACTCTAATAGTGAAAGTTAGCCTGAAAAACTCTTGAAAAAGTTTTTAATCTCAATGAGACATTTGCCTGAATAAAGTAAATATATTATATATTGATGTATTGATAAAAACACGTTGATAGGTTTTGAAAGACAGCCTTGTCCTTTTCACTTACAAAGTATAGGAATAAATGTTATATTAAAGGATTTAATACTAAAGTAATCATTGCTTAAAGGCTCATTTTAAACATTAAATGCATTCAAATGAGGATGCTTTTACACAGAATGAGTTGCAAGGACACAATCGGAAAGTTTCCAAAAGGACATTGTAAACATCAGTAAACAGCATCAGGCTTTAGTACCACTGCATCCAATACTTGAATTAACTTGACTTAGGTTTATTTTTAAATAAATTAAACTCTGACTTTGATTCATTCTTCCTGCCTTTTTAGATAATGTTCTCGTTATTTGAAAAGAAGGCCTGTGTTCGCTCATTTAAACAAGTGTTATTTTCTGTCTTGTTGAACATGTTATTTCTCTCTGGGGTAATCAGGTTTTTTAGTAAAACAGAGTGTTTGTTAGCTTTAAATTTTAAACATACAATTGTTCATTAATTAGAAGAAAGCAAATTAATATATTCACCCCGTTTGATGTACAGTGTAGTCAAACTTTGATAAGAACTGTGTTCATGTTTGCATAAATTGGTACCATCTTCTACTGAGTTCAAAAGAAAAGGGACTGCAAAGTACACTTGCATTTAAATAACGCGCCCCATTTTCTTGTGTGTTTGTTTTTTAGTGATAATATTAATAAATTAACATTTTAAACAATCCATCTTTATTGTTGTGCCACCGTTTATTTTTAACTCAATTAGAATTTAATAGATCATTTTTCTTAATATACACAGTTCTCCTCACTTTGTTCATCAAACAACAACAAAAGATTAATTACAAATATGAGCAATGATCAAAAACATGATAAATAAATTGTTACAATGAGTTAAAAATTGCAATTCTAGTGCAATACAATACATGTGTTGCAAATGAACAGCTCCAKGTCAGCTATTGTATGTTTGTGCTCATGTGATTAGATTATAGTTCCAAATATAATAAAGGATTTGCTTTGCCATTTTAGTTTTCAATTGTAAGCATCATAGACTGTAACAAGCAACATTTTTAGTGTGGACGATTCAACAAACAAGCTGAATCTATAACCAAAACAATTAAATAACAGCAGTTTTTAAAATTTATTATATTGCAAGACTTGCAAACATATAATATTTAACATAATTTGACATTGTTTGCAGGGGTGACATTACAAATTTGTAAATGTGTATGTGGGTGTGTGTGAGCAAGAGTGCATGTGGCCTTGGAGGGGGAATAAAACCTAAAATTAAATAGAACAAAAATAAAAACAAAATGAGAATAGCAATTATAATAACAAATAAAAAAAACCAGGTAAAACTGTATTATGGTTGTAAAAGTTAATAAGATGGAACCAGATGGAGATGGAGGGCTCTACTATTGTTTTATGGACAGAGAGGCACAAGTTTTCCAAAGAGATGTGGCCAACAAATTTTCCCTTGTGCAGTGTTACATTTCTTTTTTTTTTTCAGTTCATCAGCATTGATTTTTTGCAATAGTTGAGGCAAAATGAAGCATTGTTTTATTTGATTTAGTCAGATTGAGTGATGAAGCGTCGCCCAAGAAACAGTGATGAAGATAGCAGAATTTGTCTGCTCAGGAATATATAGAGAGATTCTATAACTTGTTTACAAAATTGTTGAATGGGTGAGCAGAGCCATATAGCATATGTGTAAATATCTGGCGTATTTTCAAAACAAAATGTGTAGATCGGATGTGAATCTCATTCTTGAAAAATCTTGTATTGCATTAGTTGTTTTATTTGCATTTTTTGTTGTAGAATAGATGTTTTTGCAGATTCTAGAAGTAAAAACGAATGAATAAATAACTTTGCAGCTCACATTTGCTTTGGATTTCATTGATTTGTAACTTTTCATGTCCACAAATGAGCATTTAGCTCCTAAAATGTGGAGCTGTCCCCTTGGTAATATATAATTTCTTTCAGGTGGTTTTCAAATTGTGACCAACTTTACTTGCATTTGAAAATAAAGAAAATTTCAGGTTCAAGTGATCGCAGATCCCTTGTTATTCCTGTTGTTTTTAGCATGCCTGAGACAAGTGGAATTGTCAGTTTTAAAAGGATGGATGCCTTSAGTCATCAGATGACAGCACGACAGAAAGGGCAATTCAATTCCCGGGGGACAGCAACAGCCAGCAGGAGGTGAATGGGCAGTAGCTTGGGCTAGAGGTCATCGCCACCCATTGTCGCCCGGTCACTCAGGATGGGCCCCCAAATCATGTTGTCAATGTTGATGCATCGAGATCTCCCTCTGGCAAAAATTGGATGCTCCAAACTCAACTTGATTGATGCATTACTCAGGTTGTGCCTGCTTGTATTCAGCTTGTGTCCTTCCCCTCTGTTAACCATATAGCAACTCAAACACTTGGCAGTGAGAAGGGTGAGATGTACTTTTCAAAGTTTTTTCTCTCCCCCTTTCTGTGGGTGTGGTAGATGAACACTGGCACACAGTTTTATTTTAAATCAAAACATCCACTGTGTCTATCATCCTTGAAATTTATAAGATATAAACTGCCTTTTCATTTTTCTCACCACATCTCTAATGATAGGGCTCAATCAGTGCTCAAAGATTGTCGTTCTCACTGTTTTCTATTGAGGCAAGAGGACTACATTATGACCCGAAGGCGAATGCACAGCTTGTACATTCAGTGAATGCCACAATAGATTTGATTGAAAAATACCTTTTCTTTCTGTGACCAAAAGTGCAGGCTTTTTTGTCTCCAAGGGCATGGCATTGTTGCTTCTTGGGTACTAGCCGTGAGTTTTGTGAACATGAAATAGTTTCTTTTATCTGTTATTTTTTCATTATGATCCCTCTGTCTCCCTCTTTCTCTGCTTTCCTCCAATAGTTTCCTTGATAGTTTTGTCTGGCCTGGATTGCTCTCTTTGTGTGTGTGATTGTGTGTGTGTGTCTGTGTGTGTCTCTGTGTGTTGTAGTATATGTTGTTTGTTTTGTAATTTAATTCGGTGTTGTTGTTGACTAAAATTGTGATAAATATGTCTATATACAGTGTATATGGTGTGTATAATTTATGTTTTCAACCCAAAATGAACATGGACACTTGAGAATTTCTTTACTTTGATAAAGCCTTGTGGTTACCTTGATTCAACCGTTGATTGCTTCGAGCTGCCTGCATTAAGTATTGTAGTTTTATATAAATTCAGGCTGAGCTTTAAAGATGTGAAMAACCTTAAAGAGGTCCTGCTTCCCTAACTGCTTTAGTGTTTCACACTACTTGTTCATTTTACTCTGACTTTATTATTTTCTTTAATTTTGTTTGCAATATCATAAGAGAGAAAACAACAGTGACAACTTTGTCCTCCTCTTCTTTTCCTTCTCTTTCTTTCTTTGTCTGTGTTTGCAGGGCCTGTTCATCTTTCTGATATATGGGGTGTACAACACAGAGGTAAGTCTGCATTGTGTCTCAAGGCTGTCGGAGTGAATGAGAGAAATGACAAGTTTCTGATGGGCTTCTTGCTTAAAAGCTGTGTGGGTGGGGTGTGACGGTGTGTGTGTGTGTGCGCGTGCGAACGTGTTTTAGTGGGTGGGGAGGGGACATCGTTTCCACACGAGCGTCCCACTGCCCTTCATGCTTGGACTAACTTATATGCATCCGAGTCCGACCATTTAACACTGACACGCTGCGGTTCTCAGCCACTCATTTCTCACCCACATTGGCTAATATTTCACTGCCTCTTTAAGTTTTTAAACTCACGGCCCTCCATTTAGCATCCTGACAAAGCTTGTGGCCAGGGCTTTGCTGGGCCCTAAGCAGTAACCATGGCAGGACCAAAAAAAAAAGCGTGCAACAAACAGTATGCAATGACAAAGTGGGAAAATATCATACTGAGATGGTATTACCATTTAAATGGGCCATATATATATTTATGTGGGAGTTCAGAGTGGGTGAATGGTGAGACAGAAGGATATGATTTAATGGATGAGATTCAAGTCTTAAAAATCACTCCTAGTCAAATATGTCTCTCAGTCTGTGTGGATAACATTAACTTTAGATATGCATAGATCAGCGGTGTCTTATCTTGGCCCAAGGGCTGCTGTTCTGTACGTTTTACTTGTTTCCGTGCTCATACACCTGATTCAGTGATTAAATGGTCTTTTCAAGTTCTGCAGAGGTCTGTTAATTACACATATATTCAAATCAGGTGTTGGAGCAGAGAAACGTTTAAAACAAGGATGGTGGCTTTGTGAACCAAATTTGACATCACTGGCATAGATTAAAYTGCATTTGAGGATCTTCCTAAATTGCAGTTTTTCTGAACTTGTTTCAAATTGATACATACTGTCAATTTCAGATGTTGTAGAAACACAACACAAACACGAGTTGTCTTGGATGAKATCTAAAAGTCAAATCAGAGTATACAAGTCCATTAGGCATCATTGACAGCCTCCTTTCAATTTCCTATCTAACCTCTTTCTTATCTTTCCTCCGTCCATCTGACCATCCAAAATTATATCTCACCCCCAATTTACACTTCATGCATCTCCACTCCGCTGCGCTCTGGTCCGACCTCCGTAGCAAATACACACACCCATTCTAATCAAAGGGCCTCATGCAAGAACATGTTCGTATTCTTATCCTAAATTTCTCTTACTTTTGTTCGTACAAAGGGTTCGTACGAACATGCCACGTCAGATTCAACAAACTCTTCTATCTTCAGGAAAAGTGTGTAAATGAGCTGC